AAGTCACCAGTGTGAGATTCCTTCACGTTTTTTATGTTGGTACTGGTGCTATGAACATTCCTCTTAGCACTGCTTTCATACTGTCCCATATGTTTGGGTATGTTGTGCACCCTTTTCATTGAATTCTATGAAGTTTTTAATTTCTTTCCTTATTTTTTCTGTGTTTCAGTGGTGATTCAGTTGAGCATTGTCCAATTTCCATGAGTTTGTAGACTTTCTGCAGTTTGTGTTATTGAATTCTAGCTTTAAGCCATGGTGATCCAATAAGAAACAGGGCTTTCTTGCTATTTTTCCTATCTATTGAGGTTTGCTTTGTTACAAAGCATGTGGTCAAGTTTTGAGAAGGTTCTATGAGGTGCTGAGAAAAAGCATATTCTTTTGTTTTTGGTTAAAATGTTGTATGGGTGTTTGTTAAGTCTATTTGAGTCATAATACCTGTTTGTCCCCTTATTTCTCTGTTAAGTTTCTGTCTGGGAGACCAGTCCAACAGTTGGGAGGGGGTATATGTAATTTAATTTGTATAATATTTGTAATGATTGTTCTGTCTCTTTAAGAGACAAGTCACGCCCACTCCCTACCCAGTCTGCTGAGGGAGGCTGATCTTCAGCTTGCAGCCTGAGTTCTCTCTCTTTTTCATCTCCCTCTTGGAGAGGTAGCTTTTGTCTCTCCTCTCTCTCTCTCTCTCTCTCTTCTTCTTCTTCTTCTTCTTCTTCTTCTTCTTCTTCTTCTTCTTCTTCTCCTTCTCCTTCTCCTTCTCCTTCTCCTTCTCCTTCTTCTTCTCCCCTCTCCCTTCCTTTCCATAACCACTAAATGAATATGCAGCCTCACTCTGCATGGCGTGCCTATCCATCTGTGTCTTGCTTACTGCCGCCATATGGATTGCTACCAGGGACCAGCCATCTTCAGAGACCTATAGCAAAGTCTCCTGTGTTGTCCTTGCCTGGGACTGGCTGCTCTTGGGACCTGCTGCCCCCTGCCTGCCACCACATGGACTGCTGCCTGCCACCACTTGGGGACCTGCAGTGTTTCTGCTGCCTGCTGCCACTGGGGATCCTGCAGCATTTTTAATTTTTCCATTACAATATTTCTTTTACAAATGTGGGTACCCATGTGTTTGGGGCATAGATGTTCAGAATTTATACTTCCTCTTGATGGATTTTTCTTGTGATGAAAATGAAGTG